TATTTTTTTTATAAAAAAAATAGAGGCCCCCCAGATAAAAAAATGGGTTGCGCCAAAGGGGGGGGGGGGGGGGAGAGAATGGAATTTGCTTAAGTTTTGAAAGCTCTCTTTGGCATCTGTTACTTTTATGCCTGAGATTAAATTTTCATCAAGAATTTAAAACAGTTAATAGCAGTGGGGGCGGGGAGGGGGAGGAAGTCTGAACTAAATTCCTTCTTTGGGCCTTTTTTTTTTTATCCCTGTGCAGGTCGCAAAGCCCCAGAGAAAAGTGTGATTAATGATCAGTGATAAGTGATTAGTGGTTGTATTCAAACTGTTACCTCTGACCAGAAGCACACATCAGAGGATTAAGAGGCTCTTTTAGATAAATGCTCATTAGTGGAAGGGGAAAATCAAAGATAATAGCCAAGCATAAAGAGACAACTTTCTAGGAAAATCATTCCTGTCTTTAGAATAATAAGCTCAGTTCACAGAAAAGCAGTTTAATTTAAAAGTTGCTTTTATCTTGTAAATCCAAGTTGGATGTAAAAGTCCACTGGGCTATTATAACCTAGATTTTCCCATATCCATGGGACATAATCCTAGTCATGATATTTCTTTCTTCATTTGAAGAAACAATTGGGATCTTGAAAGCAACAAAAACATTCCCAGGTCCAAGGTATCCACTTCAAATACAGCAGGAGAAACTTGCTGTCAGTTAAGTTGATGGTACAATACACTTCTGGAGAGGTTTAGTTCTAGATTATGAATGAACCCAACATGCAGCTGTTCGCTTAGATGTCCTTCAATGCTTACAACAAAGCTGATTCTGTCCCATTATTGTTCTATACTTTTTAAAGTCATATTTTCCATGTGAATTGACTGCTCCTGGAAAAGTTAACCTCACTACTTAAAGAAATAGAGGAGGTAAAGGAGCAGGTGAGTGACAAGACCTTGAATAACATAATGTAACAGCTATTTACAATTGATGTATTAAGATCATATAGATTCTCCATTTCACTTTTACTATTTGAAGAGAAAGAGGAAAAAAAACTGGTCAATAAGAGTGTGTGGGTGTGGGGGAAATAGAATGTAGAAACCTATCCTTCACCTACTATTTGTCTGCTGCTTCCTATGCTGTTCATGTTCTCTAGACGTAACTAGTGTTTATCACTTACTATACTATGTAAGTCTCTATTTGCATTGAAACAGTAGAATTCAAAGAATAAATATGATTGCATTAGGCAAAAAGAAGAGGGATTGCCTCTCATTTGGTAACTTTAATAGAAATGCTCAGATTGCCTCCTTTAAAAAAGTCTTATAACTTTATCTTTCCTATAATGAATACCAGACTAAGAACCATCTAAGATATTAATAGAACAAGAGCTATTGTTGTCTGTTGGGTAAATTAATCTGGAGAGCCTGTGGGATTATGGAAAGATAGTAAAAACTGCACCAAACACAAATCAAAGTTGAACTTTTGTGGCTGAATAATAGGTGAACACACACACACACACACACACACACACACACACATATATATCTAACTCACACCTAAAAAAATATTTAGTGGAGAAAGGGCCTTTTTAAAATCTAGAATCGCCAGAATATAGAAATGAGAGTGCTTTTTCATCGTCTCTCATACTTTTTTGGGTCTTGTTCATATCTTGCAGGAGAATTGCTCATAACTTCACACTCAAAAATTATATTACAACATTCCTATACAAACATTCTCATGTAAAAGATATTCAGGGAAAAAGACTGATAATTCCAGATACTTTTTAAGTGTAGTCCTATGTGAGCATGTTGAATTGGTCCAAAATCAGGACACATTTAACAGCTGCCAAAACAGAACCATTTGGGAAAGTTTACTGGTAAAGCTCAAAATGTAGTTGTGCAAACACAAATGTATTGTCAACACCATTTTCTGACTAGGCAGAAATTTGCTTATACATTTATTTCAAGCCATGAAAGATGTGTGTCATCATCACATATAATCAAAGGTGTGTGATCACCACAGAAGTGTGTTATGCACTGGAATTTTAAAATACCTGCAACTGCTCTTGATATGCCTTCTCATGAAGATAGTAGTACATTGTTTATCTTTTTATACCAGCCACCAAACCTTTTACCAAATAAGTATCCAATAAATAAATACTTAAGAAAATTAATACTAATAATGTTAATAAATATAACAAATTAAAACTAAGTCCCCTCCCAATCCCAAGCATCCAAACATATTAAAACTGTAATGAAATGTTGGAAAGCTAATTGAAAATGTGTGTCTGAACTTTATTTTTTTTATTCATAATTTTGAAGAAAGTGCATTTCACAATTTGGGAATACTACAGGATGAAACACTTTCCCATGTTCCTAACAAATAGCTCT